TAGATTTAAAGAGAGAGAGAAATAAAAACAAAAAACCTAAGGAAGGAACTGGAAACGAGAGAAACAAAAGAAAATTAATTCTTGAAGCATAGAAACTTACACCTAAAAATCTAAATCTGTCTAATTTATTGATGAGTTGTTTAAGTGATGGGGATCATGGCTTTAGATGGATCTCGTGATGTGAAGTATGGCAAGAAGAACTATGACGTTTGTGGGTGGTTAATGGTAATGGGGATAATGGGTATATGACAATGGTGGTTGAAAGAAAAGAGAGGATTTTTCAAGGTTTGTTGTGTTAAGGCCGACTAAAGAGAGAAAAAAGAGATTGGGAAAAAAAAGGGTTTTTTATAAGTAGAGTTTACGCTTGAGTGGTTAAATTCTTTTTTAGTCCCTAATGTTGTGTACATTTTTCTTTTTGATCCGATACTCCTTTATTTTTTTCATTTTCACTCCAAATTGAGTTTATTTCCGCTCCTTTCTTTTAATTCTTTTGATTTTTCCAAAAGGATATTGGATTTTTAATTCTTCCGACTATGCTCCTAATTAAACCTTTTCGATCCTTTTTTCTCAATTATTTCAATAGACACCCATATGTCTTTTTTTTTAAGTTCCTTTTTCTTTCTTTTCTCTATTTTTTTATGCTCGAAATAACTCACAAAATTTTCAAAAAAAAAAAAAAATCATAAAAACTAATAAAAAGTTTTAATTTTGAAAAAATAAAATTGATTAAACAAAAATATTTAAAATGGATTTTTTTTATTTGGAAAAATCATGAAAAATGAGAGTTAAAAATGGATGCTAACAACGACTATGAAGTAAATTGGATGGACGTAAAGGATTTTTCGGGGACAAAAGACGAGAGATGAGGATAGCAATTTGTTGTTATGGCTTCGATAATTTTTTTTTTCTATGTCAATTTCTTTGAATTTTGGTGGTTTCGAGTTGTGTTTTTCAATATTTTCAATGAGTTTAGAGAATAGAGAAAGGGATAGGGAGAGATACAAAAGAAAGGGAAGAATGAGTATTTGAGATTAGGTTTTATATAGAGGTAATTTGGTCTTTTTGTAAGCTTATTAACATAACCTTTAACCCATTAATTGAGAATGTCGAGTGTAATGTAAGAAAAATTGGGTCATGCAATCGTTAAAATCAGTATATTATTTTATTCTTGATAATATACAATTTTGTGATTACTTTTTTCTTAAAATATAATATGAATAACTTAAAAAAATTATTATTTTCAGCAAATATCTTATCAATTAAAAATATATGGATTATTATGCTTTTGCATAACTATATATCCGAGTTATTCAAATATAGTTTTTTATTTTAATATTATTGATTTTTCAGTGAATAAATATATAAAAATCAAATGTACATACTTTCAAGACTAATATTCTCATCAATATTAAATAAAAATAAAAAAATTATTTATTTATTTTTATGTCGACTTTTACATTAATTGTTACTTTGTTTTTTCGACACGATCTTATAAAATACTAATTTTTTTTATATATTTTATATTGAATTCTCTTTTTGTTTAAGAATCCATGGATAAAGAAGAATTATTTTTTTTTAATTAGAAAAATTATGAAAAACACAAAAGAAATGATTAAATATAAAAAATGATTAAAATATTATAAAATTACATTTTCTTCTTTATCTTGGATTTCATTTATTTTTATGGACTCATAACATAACACAAATCATTAAATTGAAATGTTTTTTTTAGATTATTTTAGGTATTCGATCCAACCCATAACATGGCGTGAGCAAAAATATAATGTAATTCTAATAAAAATTACAAGGAACAATAGAATCACAAAAAAAAAAAAAATCCAATCTCTTTTTGACAAAACAACCTTAACAAAAAAAAAAAACATATATATATATAAACATTAGTTTAACCCGATACCATCTATCCTAGGGAATATAATAAAAAATGCATGAATGTAATGAAGATATTAAAATACGAGTAATTGAAAATCGGGAATTAAAATGGGCGGCGAGCTGACTACTAAAATGCGGAGTTCAAAATAGGTGGCGAGCCAACCATTAAAATGTAGGTGTAAGAATACCTAGGAATATGCAATAAAATTAAATTAGAAACATATAAATGAATAAGTAAAACGAGATATAAAATAGAAAATTAAAATAGATTCTAGGTATGTGGCATTGTTATACCAAAGGTTAAACCACATGATAGGACGAGTCCTCAAAGGTTTTGTTATTGGTTTCCAGTAGATATACTATAGAATCGGGATAGAGAATAAGAATAAAACATAATATATGCAATACAAAATTTTTATTAAAATAACTTACAATTTACATAAACATGGAAAAGTTTGATTTTCTTCGAGTTTTGTGGATAGTCGAGAAATGTATTTAAGTGATTACAAGAGAACAAGTTTACAAAGAGTTTATATCCTAAGTAATTTGCCTAAAAAAAACATTCTACCTCCAAATGAGGAACGAGCTTCCTTTTATAGAAGAAAGAAAGCTATCTTGAATAGTGATGACTAGTATTTCACGTGAGTGAACAATAATGAACGAGTGAGACGTTGAAAGGTGTTTTGTCCCGGCATTCACATGGATGAACGAGTGATACGTCAAAAGTTGTTTTGTCCCGCAATTCATAAATAGTGAATAGGAGGAAAGATTCTAAAGCGAGTCATCTTCATTGTCATCACCTAAATTTATCTCGGGTTACGTACTAGAGTCTTCGCTTGGGAGGAGTGTGATCTATTTTGCACCAATTTAGATATAATGGTAAAATATTCTTCTTCCGATTTCTGTCGCTACTAACTCGGCATTTACAAAAGATTTTTAAGCTAGGAAACTTGAGGAGGTAGGACTAGGCTTCATAAGGCCTTGTTTTGTAAGCAATTGTTCCACTAAAATCTTTGTTAGAAAGGATGTAATCTTAAATGAATTCCACCATTTTACTTTGAATCTTCTTACAAGGATCATAATCTGTTCTTGATAAATAGTATCATAATATCATACATAAATCCATGAAAGGAAGAATTTTGTACAAAAAAAAAAAAAAGAGGGATAAATCTGTTTAAAACAGATTTTACTATCAAATTTACAAAACCATTTTTGTAATGTTAAAATATAATGGAATCTCTTTAAACCAGCTTTTCATACCGATCAAAATTAAATTTTAGGTTTTTCAAGTTAAACTAATGTTAAAATAAGTGTAACTTTTGGTTGCATGATCAATAAAAAAAAAAAAAGAGAAATAATAAGCGATTGCCATTTTTTGATGCATTAAGGATTGGCAAACTACCAAGTCAAAAGATTTCTAGTTTAACACGTAGTTGGAGGGACATTTATTCCGTTTCTTTCCTAGAAAGTCAAACCTAATGGCCCCAAATGGAAATATCAATAGGTTGGGTCGGGACGGATTTTTATGCATTTGCAACCCACCTGGTATTCCCATAATTATCATTCGCATCCGTTCCACATCCAGTCGGATGGACGGTATTTTGTATTCGATGGTTGCTCAATCTAACTCGAATTTTTTTTTTAATTCTCTTTTAAGTTTATTATAGTATCTCACAAAATCAATCTAAATAAATTAGTGTAAAAAATTGTACATACATAATATTTTTTAAGTCAAATTTAAAATATCAATACTACATTACATATGATTTGAAAATACAAGTTTATGTTATTAAATATCATTAGTGATTTATACTGATAATGAATGTTAGTTATTTATAGATTAAAATTTAGTTATAAGGTAAGGATTGAATAATGAGGTTTGATTTATAGAGTTAATAATAATAATATTTATTAACAAAAAAAAAATAACAGATTGGATGCAAGGATTGGTGAAGGGTTCACCATATCATCATCCAATCCAAATAAAACCAGATCAAGTTTTCATCTGACCCTGTTGCCCTTGGTCAAATCGGGTAAAAACCCAACCTAATAGAGCTTGGAGGTAGCCAGCTGCTACAATATTTCTGGATTTTCATGATAATGACACATCATCAAATTATATAGTTAAATACAAGTATAATATTTCTGGATTTTCATATGTGAAAAGTACATGAGTCGTAGAAAATAAAAATTTAACCAAATTACCCTCATGAAATTATATTAGAGGTGATTTTTTTAAAAGAAAAAATTTTTTGGAGTTAAATGGTTTTCGTTTGTTAAACTCTTTTTTTATTTTTAAATTATTTTTATTCTTTAAAATATTTTTATCGAATCAAATATTTTGACATATAATTCGTTCTTTTATATATAATTATATAATTATGTATTTAGATATTATCTCCAATATATCCTTACAAATCTAATTACATCCAATATATACTTAAATACAAATATAACCTCTAATATTTCTGGATTTTCGTATCTGAAAAAATCATGACTTGTAGAAAATAAAATTTCGACCAAACTACGCTCACGAAATTATACTGGAGGTGATTTTTTTTTTTTTTTCAAGCTTTTGGAGTTAAATGGTTTTCATTCCTTAAGCTCTTTTTTTTTTTTTAAATATTTTTCATTGCATAAAATTTTAATTTTTTAGAGTTAAAGGGGTTTGCTTTGTTTAGATTTTTTAAAATATTTTGTACTTTCAAATATTTTTACTCGCAGAGAATAATTATTTTGGTCAAGGTGAAATTTTAATAGGTAAAAAGGTAATTTTGTGTATAAAAAAAAAAAATCATTTTTACAAGTCGTGCGCAAGTTGCATGTCAAAATCCTGTACTTTGGATTGAAATTTAAATGGAAAGACCTAGGAGACTACGCAAACACTTAAAAGGGACTAGCTAATAAAACACACATGATAAAGTTATATCGAATACAACCACAAAAATATATATGTAAGGCTATTCTAAGCTAATTTCTATAATTTTTCCTTTCACATTTGCTTGGGAAACTTGCACATAGAGCACCACTAAATGTGCGAAAATGTACATAAAGCTCGAGTATGAACTCATTTTGTTGATCTATTGTAGATGAAAACCTCAGAAGATTATTTAAAGTGAAAGCCGAAGTGAAGGATCAACGTTTGGAAACAACAGCTTTGGTTCTATAACCTGCTTCGCTTCTTGCTCTAAGATGGAAGTAGACGAGGCCACAGAAAGAGGCAGAAACTTGGAGAATTTGTCATTTTTGTTGCTTGTTACTTCATTGGAATCCTCAGTGTCTTTGCTTCGATTATGCCCGACCTGTGGAGGCAGGGAAACAGCTCCTTGCTCAGCTAATCTTTTGCCAATCCCCAAGGAAAGTTCAAGATTTGGATTTCCAGATTCGAACGGACTCTCACCATTCCGGGAAACTACCAGATGCTGAGTGGACTTAATAGAAACAGGACTGACATCAATTGCCCCAGATGGCAATCTATAACCCAAAAAATGGGGGTCGCCAGAACTACTATGCTTGAGCATTCCATCGAAACTTTTCATCCTCTTGCCCTCTTGTTCTTCATCAGCTGTCACCATATCTATATCACACACTCTATTTGGATCACTTTCTTTTTCTCTCCTTTTCTTTTCATTGTCCTTCACGAGAAACAACAAATATTAGAATTCGTGTTCTTTTGTTAATTTCATGTGATTTAGATGGTGAACTCTGCAAAACTACCTAAAAAAAGGTCATAACTAGGTGAAGATAGTCATATTGATTGATTAGAACTTGAGTGAAGCTATTTCAAAAAAAGCCACAATCTCACGTACCATTATGTATGTATATCTAAAGTTCAGTAAGAGTAATAATTGAAAATCATTGAAAAACATGACATAAAGCTTGAGAATTATTAGGCTCTCACGACAAAAAGCTACATATCCATTCCATAAACAAAAAGGAAGTCATCAATTTTTTTTTTCCCCTGAAAGACAAGAAGACAGTCGGGGAATAATGCATATTGGTTAAGAGTTGTATCAACAAAGGAAAGTAATAAAAGAATCTTCTTTTTTAGAAAAATGCTGACAAAAAAAGGAAATATATGTTCAGTGATAATCAGATCTACATTTAGTTATTCCAGAAACATGCACAACTTAAGAACAGCATGTTTTGGAAATAAACTGCGAAGAACATAATAAACAGAAACATGCAGATTGAGCCCTAAAATAAACTAGATTTTAAAATAACACCAGTCTGATCATGAATAGAAAAGCTACCAAGATGGAAAAAAAACAAAAAAGAATTATGCTCTGTTAGTGCCTTTTCGTTCTTTTGCTTTTCTTGGTAAGCAAACTACGTGATGTCGTGCGTGTTTCCTTTCTTCAGCAACTAATTTACTAAATCATATAATGAATTTCATGAGCAATATGAAAGCTAAAAATAACAAGACTACAGCCTAGGGATAGAACACATGTTACCTGAGAAGGGCCATTGTGTTGCACATTCCTGGACGACTGCTCACTCTTCTTTGAAGTGCCACCCGAACTCAGCCATTCATCAGAACTTTGAAAATGTGACAATTTCTGAAGTGGAGAAGAAACTTTGTTTTCACAACTCTCACCCATTCTAGCAAGAGCAAGAGTAGGCACTTCTAGTGAGATAATAGAGTCTGATGTTCGTTGAGCATTGAAACGAATATTTGAGGGAGACAAAATTCCACTCTTATGAGTGGAGGAATGCAGGTTGTGCAAACCAGATGGCGGCACATTCAACTCAGAAAAACAAGTCCTTTGAGGATTTGGAATGTCCTGGGAGCTATTTATCTTCCTCCCTCTAAATATACCCCATAAAAACAGCAATTGATTCCAACCTGTAACAAGTAAAATTTTTTAGCTTAAGTACAATACACAAATCCTCTTTTCGTCCAGACAAGTTAAACCAATTTTCAAAGGTCATTGCTTACGCTGGGATTTTTTTGGAAGCAGGTTAGATGAGAATATTAACAGATCAAGTCCATCAATGCTTGCTTGTAGACCCAAGTCGTTCTTAATCATGTATTCCAACAAGATTTTGTAATTACTTTCATAGCTGCATAAGAAGCATACAAAAAAGTTAGGCAGACAGCCACTTTGCAAGGAAGCAATATACTCACATAAAGCAAAACTTCAAACCTCTCAATATCCTTAGCAAAAAAGTAGAGTGCAATGTTTTCTTCTTTGGCCTGACTTTCTGGGAGCTGAGTTGGCCACATAACCAAGCGAGATGCTTGCTCTGCTAGAATTTTCTGGGGCAGTTTACGCACTATTTCATGAACTTTAGGTGAAGCACAACTCGATATGTGTGCTTGGATGCCATCGCAAGAACTAACAAGTCTTCCACTTCTCTGAATTCCAAATCCACCTCTGCACAACAGACCAAAAATCCACTGATGAAACAATCTCAGGAAGAGAAACAACAATTTACAATGTGTGTTTTCAACAAAATAAAAAATGTAACAGTAAAAAGAGCAAAAGGACATACTGCCATATGCACTTAAGCTGTGGGACAACAGAAATTGAAGAAGGAAAATCCACTGGAGAAGCAAACAAGGGCAATCCTTTCGGATAAGACGATTCATTACAAGGATGAAAGGATAGCAAATTATGTGATCTGGTAGCAAATGCATTGTCTGTCAAGGCATCATTGAGAAGCCTGTTTTGTTCTTCATTTGGAAAGTCTCTAAGAGCAACATCGCTGGGGGTATTAATGAGCTACTTAATTTTCCATCACCTTGGACATCTACCACATCATGATGTTTGGGCCTAGACAAAGGCAGTACACTAGCTTCCCCTTGAAGTGGGTTTCTTCTATCCCTCATTTCTGCAGAAGCATAATTATCAGCAACCGGTGATTTCATCAATGGGTTAGGAAGTGTATTTTTTGATATGACCAAATTTTCCTCCTTTCCATGTCTGAGCCTTTTCGTTTCTTCTACATGAGCAAAATTAGAAGAGATCTTTTTAACCTTGGAGTCAGCGGCATTTACATGGTCTAAGCTAGCTTTCTTGAATAATGTAGATTTGCACCACATCCTGGCAAACCCCTCCTTATTGAGACAGGTAGCAGTTCCTTTCCCCAAATTTTGCTTGTTAACACCACCCTCTGACTGTTGAAGTTCCACTTTTGAATTTATACCGTCAAATGATTTTGATTTCAAAAGAGAACCTGTAACCAAGGGTCAAAACTTAATCAATATATAAAAGAAAAATATACGAGAATGTAATGAAACACAACTTCCTCATGTTTCAATATTAATTTCAAATGAAGTGATTTATTAGCTTAACTGTGGCTACCTGTACATATTCCAGTTATAAAATACAAAAAGTATTTCCTAAAGCAGTACCTTCATAGGTTGACTTCATTTTCCCCTCATCAATGTCCTTGAATGAAGAACCCCAACAAATTGCAGCTTTGCTGCAGGATTCTTTGGATAGCGCGGAGGGGTTGTGACTTTTTTCAGGCGTCCTTCTTTTCACAGTGAATGCTTCTGAATCATCTACTGGTCTCTTAGCAGGAAAGAGACAGGTAGAACTATCATTTCTCGTGTTCTTATCCACACCTGCCCCTTCATTATTTGATCCCAAACTAATATTACAATTGAAAGCACCTGAACTTTTGGAGTTCTTTGTTATCTCATTCAAGGATGACTCCTTTAATTGAACAGCGTTTTCTTTTTCAAATTTATTTTTCTTTTGCTTTCCATTTTCATCCACAAGCATGCACTCTTCACACATCCAATTTCCTTCAGGAACTTTGTCCAGCTTTTCACGCATGCAGTATCTGTTTGAAAGAAATCCATTGTCAATGGGAAGATTAAATGGTACCCACATGCAACTAGCACATATTTTAACAGAATGACTGAAAGAAAAGAAAAAGGATCCAGAAGCTTAGTTATGTGGGAAATACATGTGTTCTGCTCCATCAATGCACTTGCTACAAGTAGCAAGCTTCTCCACCTGACCCACGTCTCCACAGATATCGCAGACTTTTACCTGCTTTGCAATTACACCAGAAAATAACCAGATCATGTCAATCCTGAGTGTAGTTTAAAGTTCAATACGAATTAGGCAAGCAAAATGATAGCAGAAAATGTAACGACAGTGGAAATGAAAATAGGACAAGGTCTATATCATGAACAAATTGCATAAGGGATTTGAAATCCATAACACATTCATAATGCAAAAATCCATTGCATAACAGAATTGAAACCATGATCAAATCACTGTCAGTTTCATGCAAATTATGATCATTAATTTTGAATCACTGATTCTTTTAACTTTTTCCTAGTTAGCATGTATGCATCCCTCAATTAAAGAAAAAAAATTCCTGAATAGAGGAACATGGATAATTTCTAAGTTTGCAGATAATTTTTAAGGCACCCGTTTTTTAAGATTTAATTTAAGAAATTTATCTAAATTCAATGTGGTGCCAACACGCTTAATTTTCCCAGAGTCCCATGCATTAGCATTTATCACCTAATATCCATCACACAATTATTCACTAAACTTATTATGTTAAAAATATCAACTCATGGCGAGGAGAAAATTGTATCAGTAATGATCTTGATAGTCAGGTTTTATATGGTTCTCTCTCTCACATAGCAAAAGAGAAAAGGATATGTGAGGAAAGAAATGATACGTGACCAAATAAAGGAGAACAAAAGCATAGGTAGAATTCAAGGGCAAAAAGACATTTTTTATTAGAACTCAAATTGTTGGATTCATACATCACTTTAGTGAATCGAGTTAGGTCAACTGATTAAGCTAGGGTTGAGCCATGGACAGGCATAGGTCATAATGATTATATTATGCAATCAAAATGAGAAGCATGATTTAGAGTTAGTCCATTTTCCATATCAATTGAAATCTCTTTAAAGGGACGAGTCTCGTAAAAACAGAATAAGAACTTGTTTAACCATAGAGTACTTAAAGGATAGATGTGGTATGCGAAATAGCAATACTTTATACCATTCTAGTACTACAAGAAAAAATCAAAACTGTTCAGCATATTGTCAATCACAATGTAGACCAAGAGTTATGGGTTTACTCCACTCAACTCAATAAACCTACGACACTATTGTATGAAGCCAACTAAACAACTTACTTTTCATGATTCACCTCCATTAAAGGGTATTTTATAAACAATTATATCCAAGCCTACCACACTAACTTACATCCTCTCAGTCATCTTTACCTTGGATTTCATAGTTTCTACTGCACAAGAGTGGTCCATCTTAGCCAACCTCTCTCAACTTATGTGGTACTCTGCATCTAACGTCTCATGTTGTATTCATTCCTTATTCTCACATTTCTTCTAAAACTCAGCCATACTTTTAGCAGTCAGTTTCACCAATGCATGTATTCAAGTATTAGCTTTTCCCCCTCTCTAGTGATCTGCACTAAACACATCTTGCCTGTCAATTTTATTGTTTTCATTAAAAGCACTTCCATTTCAATCCTTGAGATTATTCTGTTGGTCATGTCATCTTTGATTCCTCTTCCATAGAGATAATAGAACCAAGGTCATGCATGTTCACTTTGGCAGTTTCCACCACCATCTCACCATGTGAACATCTTTGCTCATAGATTATATCTCTAGAATAATATCATACACCATAAGACCACTTCCTCAGTTCACACATTTCTTCAACATAGCTTATTCAAGAACACCTCAGAAGGACTGACCTTTGCCAGGAAAATAACTTTTCTAGTTTAAATTTGTTGCTAATCAGAATTTCCATAGATCCCAGAAGGCAATTAGAATAGATCCTAGAATACATATATCTATGAAGTTGCGACTTTTTCATAAAATATACTAGCATTGTTTAGAGCTTTCGGGAGCCCCAATTGCTATTTTGCCAGTTTTACTAGTTTCGTATCAATAAACATTACAAGTGCAGTGGCATTATATGCATATCTAAATATGCCAAAATATATAAGAAAACAGTACGTACTTCATCTTCCATGTGATCCAGTTCATCATCATGGTCCACAGGCTGAGCCTGTGTAGCAGGTTCTTCTTCCTTTTCATGTGAACGTTTTGCAACAGCAGCTTCTCCATCCTTCCTTCCAATCTCAGATTTCACGGATTCTGCGTGGCTCTCTAAGTCATGTAACTGAGCATCAACCCAAAAGGCTGCTGCTCTCATCAACGGTGATTCCACTTGCTCCTCAGAGCACTCAGAGGGTTCTCCCTGTAAAGGAGGAAAAAAAGAGCATCTGGGAAAATTTAATTGCAAAAGGTGTATTTACCTGCTTAAGGAAGAAAGTCAATCACTTACCTTTGATGAGTTAGCCCCAATATAGAAATCTCTAGCTGAAGAAATATGTAGTAGGTGAGGTTTATTTGAAAAAACTGCAATTGCCTGTGCAGATTCATTGGTAAACTTAATTGAGTTTCGAGGCTGGTGATTGTCTACTGTATCAAATTGACCTCTAGCTAAAGAACAGAGAGCAGGTTGAACATTAGCAGCATTTTCAATTACAGGAAAACTCTCAATTGAGGCTGAACTAGATGATATGTTCTTGCTGTCTGTATAACCATGATGATCACCAGCAATCTTGTCTGTGTACTCTGAACCACTAATGCAAGAGGTATCATCACCAAAGCAATCCCATTCTTTATGCTTCTGACACTTTTTAAGCACGATACTGGAGAAACCACAATTTGGCAGACCAGTATGCTGATCATTTACTTCTCCTAGCATCTCAGAGTTTTCAGAAATACCAGATGCTCTCAAAGTGTCTTTACTTTCTTCATTTTCAGAGAATGAAGCATGGCTTGAGCATGCACTTAGAAGGTTGCTAATCTCGCTGGTGGAGAGAGTTCTACTTTTGCGTGCACTATCCTTAGGGGATAGCATACGAGCACCACCACGAGAATGCTGATCATCTACTTTTCCCTTAGAGTTTTCATACGAAAACCCAACATCAGCCTTCATTCTCATCAGTGATGCCGCCATACAGCATGAGCATGAGTTTGTGCAATTGTCACATGTCCCAGATTCTTCTTTCAAGTGAGCTTTATCACTTGAATACTGTTTGCTACCAAATATATTTTCTGTGACAGAGGATCCCTACAATTGCAAACTTTAACAATTACATCCAAGATGGAAAAGTAGTAATAAGGGAACAACATGACTCTATAATGAAATTCCAAGATTCACAAAACAAGATAGTCAACTTGAATGGACAACAATAAAGGAGCAGCACAGTTAGTTACACCAGTTGTTGGGAAAACTGACAGTGAACAAGACTAAATGAGTTGATACTTTATTAATTCACTAAAATTCTATTTGAGATACTTAATGCACAAAGTGCAACATAATTAATGCTGCATGAAAAGAAAATTAGTTCCGTTTCATACTAGAACTAGAAGCCATAAAAGCATTAGTGTTCAACGCATTTAAAAAAATGAAACGTTCTCCATTTGAAAGTTATCGTGCAATGAATCAAATCTAGATTTGCCTGTTTAATTTTGGAACACATAACTAAGAATCTGAAATCCATCATATTTATGTGATACCTGTCCTTGTGATGCTAAATAATTTTTAGCTCGTTTGAAACAAACCTGGTAGCACTATTCAAGTTCCCCAACAAAACTTAAAAGTCATAAATTAAGTAATTATTGGAAAGTTCTTAATGAAAAACTGATCAGCACTCTGCTTTACTACCATTGCTGGTCAAATAAGCAACAAAACAAGCAACATATCAAAAGCATGGAACAAAACCAACTGTGGTTAAATCAATCTTACCATATTCAGCCCAACAATGTGGTTCTTTCCATCTGAAGGCCCTTTTACCGGATAACCAACGTTTAATGTTGGTGCGATCTATAAAGCAACAACAAACAGTTCAGCTAATTAATTTCCACTGTAAATCACCTTAATAATTACATTCTCACAGCTCATAACAAAACACAAAAACTTCTCTCTTTCTGAATTCTGTTTTAAAAATGAATAGGTTTGCATGATTAATTCCGAACACAAAGATCAAATACAATGCTTATTTCGTATTCCTGCTGTTTAATTATTCAGAAAATCTGAAAACACTTACAAAACAATAGTTCCTTATATCACACATTTCCATTGTAGAACTGTAACCAACAATAAACTCAAACTGAGGAGGATACAAGAACAACCAAAACAACGATAAAGTTCAGGTTAATGGTCACAGATATGATATATCATGTCTTCTCCTACCAATGCACAGACTAAATGAATTCATCAGCAGTTGTAATTTTAAAGAAGAAAAAGATTTGAGCTTTATCATAAAGAAACAAAACCCAGTTCATTAAGCAAACAAACTCAGCTTCCTTCACACAAAAGAAAAAACCAAAAAGTCAAAAGAATATAGTAAACAACAACACCTCCAATTCCTTAAAAACAAAGAAACCGTTTTAAAAAATCACACAACCAAAAAGAAAAGAAATGAACTTTGATTATGATCATTCCAAATTGAATCACAACACAAGTTGAAATCGTTTCAAGAAATGAACCATTAGCACTCCAAAGAGAAAGAAAAACGTGTTTAAAAGAGAAGAAAAGAAAAGAAACCCATGAACAAAAATTCTACCTTGCACTCAATAACCTCACTACTATTCTCATAAACCTCCTTCATACTCTTAAACCTGACTTTCCTCATCCCTCAAAAACCAACCAAACAAGCAACAAGAAAAACAACAATCACCCCTTTACACAACTTACCTTGAAACACATGAAGAAAGCCAGCAAGACACAGTAGTATTTATAGGACCCTGAGATATAATCCCAAACATCACACCAACTCACTCTGTTCTCTTCTTTCCTTATATATCTTACTCTCTTCCCCCTCTAAAGATTTTGTTTTTTTTAATTTATGAGGTTGCTTTTCACAAAAGGGAACTAGAGAGATTTTTTATTTTTATTTTTATTTTTTCGTATAAGGTGGCAATTATCTTTATTTGTTATTATACTCACCGTACCATTCGTACATGTGTGTCTCGGAGTTTTAACCGTTGGATTCTGGGTTGGTGATGATTCGAGAGACGTGAACGGTTGTGATGGAAAGAAGTGGGGACGGTTAGCTCCTCCACGTGCCAATGGTTTTTCCGAATTTTAATCCCGGAAAGGATATAGTGCTCCAAGCGTAGATAAACATGAATAAAATTCCCTTTTTTGGTGGTAGCTTTTCTTTGTTATAGAATTAAATTGACGCTTTCTCAAATAATAAACAATAAAGTGTTGTTTAGTTATCAATAATGAAAAATTCAAAATAGAAATGTAGGAACTAGAATTAAATTTATACTTTCATATTGTATTTAGAATACTAATAAAAAATCAGAATATAATTTAAATTATTTAAATATCTAATTTTTTATATAAATAAAAATAATTTTATCAAACTATAATGATTGTAAAAATAATAAAGGTAATGGTGATGGTGATGGTAGTGATAGAAATAGTTGATATACGATAAATAAATAAAATATATTATTTTTTTTAAAAAAAATTTATTCGCATTCCTTATTTTTATTCCAATGTTTTAAATAGGAATAATGTTGTTTGTAATTTTCATTTTCATTCTCACTTTTTATTTCCATTTTTACTTCATTTCTTTCAATCAAACAGACTAAAATATGAAAATAAAACTTTTATTTTCATTCCTACCACTTCATTTCGATAAAAGCAATAAATTTAAGAATCGGCCCACTATCAAAAAAAGGAAATCTGATTCGTTTAATCTATTTTTAATAAATTAAACATTATTATTTGGCATTGTTATGTTATAGCAACAAAACAAGTTATTTTGCGATTTTTAAATATTTACGTTGAAATTGTTTAAGAATTATGAAAAGGACATGACAAATATAAAAAATTACTAATATCACAAAGAGACCCAGAGAATATGTAAAGGAATCTGAATTTATTTTTTTCTCTTACTTATGTTTTGTTTTGGGATTGAGTTTTTTAAGTCATAGTTTATAAACAACAATTTATAGCAATTGTGCTTATCGTATGAGAGTAGTAAGATTTCAAAACAATTATGATGTATAAAAATACAACATCATAGATTTAGATAAATTTTAATTACCCCAAAAGTAACTATTCCGTTAGAAAAGAGATGGCATGGATCCAATCAAAAGATAAAAATGTGCATCATCATCATCATCATCATAAAATTAAAATGATGTTGTTATTTTCAGATTTATATGGAAATAATTTTTTTTTTCAATTGATTTGACAATAAAAAGTATTTTTAAAGTCCATTTGGATGTTAAATGAAATTAAATTCAAATAATTGTAATAATGCATCTTAAACATCAACACAGAGTATTCAAATAAATTTTAATTTTTCTTTAAAACCATCCCATCTTCTTCTTTGCTTTTAACGGATTATTCATTGAGTGAGGTAGCACCGGAAGATTCTAAAACTTTCTCCATAACACTTATTAATCGTCAATTTGCTTACAAGTATTTTCCATATAATTTGCTACTACTTTGAATTTCAGAAACCCGAAACGAAGATGTTGAATTATTTTCACGTTTTTTTCAAATTTAATAATCAAGCAACATTGCAAAAGTCACAAAACGTTGCCGGTTCTGCATGCATGACAGCGAAGGGCAGCTGATTGTTACTCCACCAAGATTAGTGGGGAGGGAGGTCACAGCTAGGCTCCGGGTTAAGGACTAAATTAACTTGCACCGCGTTGCGTCGATTAGCTGGAATCAAACGGGCTGTTGATGGGACAGCGACAAAGATGGTTAAAGCAAAGAAGGTCCTTATAGATTATGTGTCAAACAAGAACCGAAGGACGGGGTTAGATTAGGTCCCTAACGAGGCAGTTTTTGAATCATTAGATTTGTTCGGACATTGAACCGTACGGACCTTAACTGATGAATTGATACAAAGAGACTGTGTTAATTAACTGTTGTTTCTGTTGCTAATAATGGTTATATTATGTGATTTGAATGTATAGATGAGTTGTAGGTGGTTGAGGAGAGAATACAAATACATACACCATTTATAAACTATTAATTAGTTTTTGCGAGGAGATGAAACTGTTGCCATGAAATGCCATGAACGTATTTTGGTAGTCTTCATGCATGAATTTGACCCTGTTTTAGTATTTTTGTGCTTCCAAAGTATAATTAGTTTTATATGTTTTTTTTTTTATCTAAAATTAATGTTTAGTTATGGTATTCTGAATCAAAGCAATATATTCCATGCTTTAACCAAAGTAAATCAATTTTTTTGCGAGGTATACTATTTTTTTTTTTTAGTAAGCATACGATGAAATATTATCAAATAATATTTTAAACTTGCAAAACAATATAGAACAATAATAATGAATACTCTTAAAATTATTTTTTAAAATAAATTGAAAGTACGTTGTGAGATTTATAAATATATTTGGATTGGATAAACTGAATATGAAGTCTTACATAATGAGCAAATAGTTTAAATTACAAATATACCATTTGAACACAAGTTTAGGATTTGAGTTTTAAATCAATCAACATTTAAGTTGAATATATTTTACTTGCATCAAATTTGATATACGATTCCTATTTTGACATAAATAGAAAAATAAATATAACTATATGAATTACCACAATACACATATAAGATTATATAATCTAATCATATACATACTATGAGATCACACACGAAGACATTGAACTAGTTATAAAAACCAGCTTAATCAATCAACATTTAAGTTGAATATGAAGTCATACTTATAAAAGTATGACCAGCTTAGTCATCACTACCAAATATATATAACAGCAAATTCAGAAAATAAAAACCATTTTTACTATATGAAAATGCTGGTGTGTGAAACTGGTTTAATATCATTGGTATTTTTAAGAGCAACACCAACATGTATACCAACTCATAAATTTGTGAAAAAAGCATCTCAGTTCAAATGTTTAAATTAATAAGTGACGTTCTAATATATAATTTATATTATTTTTTAATATATTTTTTTTAAATGAAAGTCTTATAAAATTGAAATTTCAACAAACACTTGCTATTCCGTACTTAATTAATTAAAAAAAGAAAATGCATTTATATCATATCAAAGTATCATGTCAATCCAAAACCTTATCCCGTTAGATGAGATTATAGAATAAAATTTATATTATTCTCTAAGAAAATCTACATATAATATTAATTTCTTTGCACTTTTTGGGGAAAAATATTCAAGCTTTTTCTTTTCTTCTATCTTTGTCTCCTTCTCTGAGGAACGAATAAGCTTTTGAGAATATTTGTCCTAGAATGTTTGCTGGTATTTATGAGTTTAAAAAACAAAACTACAGGGAAGTAAACTATTGCAATTTTATTTATCCAAATATTTGTTACGCAGCACTTAAAAAACATAAATAAATTAATACAACATCTGTTCAGGTTTGTAAAAAGAAAAGAAAAAAACACATACACACACAAATATTGCATTTAGTATGATGATTTTTTATTCTTACTAAGTTATTTTAAAAAATAATCAGGTTATTGGCAAGGATATTTTTGTAGCAAAGAGATCGGGATCATCTTGACAAAGCGAGACTAATATTTTGTGCTGCTCCGGTCCAAGTTCTTTTGTGCTCCATGCGCATAACCAGCTACTTGCAACGCTATAAAAACTAACTTCTTTAAATTTTTAGCTCGTTATAAGATGAACTCAAGGCATGAAACTGGTGGGCTGTGAATAAGAAAAATATACCTTTAATTTCAATATGATATTTGAGTTGCTAAGAAAGATGGATCCTATTATTCGAACTTGGGATTTTTTTTAACCACTACGTAGTCCTAACCCAACCCCCAAGCACAGACTTGATCCTAGTTCGATTTCCGAACTCTTCAAACCATACTCCAGTCTAACCTCATCTTAAACCCTCAATCCAACCCCCCTTGAGAGCTTCAACTGATTCTATCCCAATCTGGACTAGACCCAAGCATTGTGGTTCTGATCTCAACTCGACTCGAGCTCCCCAATCCTGGTTAGATCTAGTACACTTTTATTTTTTTTTTAATTTTATATATTCTAGTTAACCAACAATATAGTATTTACTATCGAACTTAAAAAAAAAAAAAAATTGTTCAACTTGCGACGTAATGCGAGAAAACGATTAATAGAGGCTAAATTAGCAATATTTCTCATTAACCAATCTTATAGAGATCAAAAGCAATTTCCCCATATCAACGACAAACATCCATTAACTTTGAGTGAGCATAAAGATTGATGATCCAGTTAGTTGCTTTGCATGTGGAAAATCTTGTCCAAGTCCAACTTATTGTTGCACCACATGCCAATATTTTCTCCATCGGTCTTGTAAGTTCATAAACAAAAACCACATAATAATAATACTAATAGTATTGTTGTAAAAGAAATAGTAACAACAATAAAATTAAGAAAAAAGATGATAAAAAAATAAATTTACTATGAAATAAAGCTAATACAAGAGCGATATGTTATGAAAGAAATGACAACAATAATAGAATTAGAGATAAAGATGATATTAAAAATGAATTCACAACGAAATAAAGTGAATATGAAACATAACCACTCCAAACATTTTTTTCAATCTCTACAAAACACTTCTCCCTAAACTAATGAACAATCAAGCTTATTTATAGGCTTTAAGATTAAGAAAAGAATTGAAAGA